GTGTGCTTTGCACAAAGAAATTCTCGCCCTTCAAAGTCCAAATTATCTGGCGTACAGAGGTTGGATTCGTAAGCACCCCTAGGAGCTGAATTAAGAGCATATCAATGAATCAACATATTATTCCAAGTGTACATAGATTTAAATACAATTCTATCTACAACTGAAGTATATGTTATAATTTAAAAATCAACTTTGGAGATTTAAAAGCTTTAAAAGTACCAGCACTTCCGTACTTTTGAATATTCACAGTCAAACAAGTCTTTTGTACAATGCAGTACAAAACGCGCCACATTTTTGATACGGCTTCACCAAGTGCATGAGGTTTAAGTACGAAAGATTACAGGAAGTGTCCTAGAGAAGTGGGACTCACGGCCTAGGTTTCTTAGTTATCAATATCAATTCGCCGCAATAAATAATGATTTTGCTTGGTGGCTGCTATATATATTCGTAAAACAACATGTTAAACATTTCTGCGCATAGGTGAAGCGTGTTAACAGGTCTGAGTCTCGCCACATGCGTCCACACCGTTGTCTAGTCTGCTGGGACCGGCAGAGTGCTGACAGTTTAGGATTACAATCATTTCTTTTGGTTTATCAAATACTCGTTCTCACATACTAATATGTAGTCCTTATAGACTGTCTGAGCAAGATGGCTCATCTCGCTGTTATTAGCGATACCGTGACCGGTGAGGATACATCCAAGCCACTTCAAACTAATTTTTGTGCCCACATAGCGTGCGGGTAGCCGTCGTAGTTTAGCACTCTACAACAACGTTTTCGCACACGTTGGTAAAGGGCTAGGCACTACATTGAAAATGCTGACCGTTTAATGCAAATGGTTAAGAAGAATGATTCATATAGTGAGAAGAAACACATTTTCATTTTTGGCGTGGAGTTTCTCCGAAGCACTTGCCTGGATATACTCCAATGGGCTTCTCATAATATAATCATTGATATTGTGTCGAGTAATGCAGTGCATTCTCATAACAGGTTCTACCTCATCTTTTACTCATGGTTTCCGCATCCCCAGACCTTTTCGGACACAGTCACGACGATGCTCCGGTCTGAGTAGGGTAGAGGATATCGGTATAATCCGACTTATCAATAACAACCCAGACCGATTCGTAGCATAGTCCAAAATTCTAGCTGGAAGAGATTAATTGTCACGCGCCAGGTCCACGAAGCTATTATGAACAAGATACGGTATTTATTGTAACAACATGCCGATTCCAGATGAGGTCTAACCACACATATAAATATGCTTTCGAATCGAAAGTTTTTCTATAAGCAATGAACTTACCTCCATATTCAGCTTTCAATGTCCACGATTTTATGCTGGTTCCACGCTTCATCAGATCGTACACGGTCGTAGCAAAATAGAGAATGCGTAATATTCCTAACGTCCCCCAGAAATTTTGCGCTTATCTCGTGCTCTAAATAGGCTTGCTGAGTCTTTAACTTTCAGGAGCCAGTCTGTTTCAAACGCCCTATTGAAAAATGTCATTACCATTCAGCATAGCTGAATTGCACTTAATGTATAACAGCCATACAGCTCAGAGCCACTAAGGCTGCTTCAAGCCAAAAAATGCGTTGATGTAGCTCAGAGACGCATTCAAGATCTGAACGATCTTAGTTTCGGTCAAACAACAATACTTTCGAAGCAAATTAAAGTAATGCTGTAGCTTACAATCTGTAGCATTCTCGGTCTTTTGTCCCCATGGAAACGAGTGAAGCTGTTAGCAGAAAAAAGGAGTTACAAAACTCTTACTTGACGACCACGTCGTGCATTGCTCTTGCAAAGTTGACCGCTTTTGAACGCTCGAGTTAGACGTACCTTTCGGTCAAGAAGGTAATATGCTTTCGATGATAACGGTCATATTGATTTTCCGACCTCCTCGGCATCATCATCGTGACCGCAAGCCATACAGTAGAGCCATTCACTAATCCAGAAGCGCCCTTTTCACTCTGCCTCTTCACTTTTACAAATTACACTCTTAGCGACCATTCTCAAGGCAAAAATTATTGTAACACTTATCGAAGAATTTTTGACGTATAGCCTGCCATCAATGAACTAATTTTAATTTGTGGTGCTCGGCCAAATCCTTTACAAGCACAAGAGTCGCAACAACTTTCGCCTACTTATAACACTTCTCTGAGAACTTTTGACGTAAAACCTGCCATCAATAAGCTAAATTTTAATATAAGGGGCTCAGCCAGATCCTTTACAAGCACAAGAGTTGCAACAAGTCTTGCCTAACACTTTTCTGAGATCTTTCGACGTATAGCCCGCCATCAAGGAGCTAGACTTTGATATAATGGGCTCAGCCAAATCCTTTACAAGCACAAGAGTCGCAACAACTTTCGCCTACTCGATCACGTCATGACTAGGAATTGAGCTTCCGCTATTACTCACCGCGCCGGAGCAGAGTTTTCATAAGCCTATGTACACAAACCTTTCACTCAAAAAAGCAGTACGAGCTAACGAGAATCACTGTACTGCCATGCCGATACCTTTGAAGCTTTTGAAGCTCTTAAGGAGGAGTCAAACGTACACTTTTATTAAAAAAAGCGGTACAAGCTCACGAGAATCCCTATACCGGAACCCCGGTACTTTTGAAGCTTTAGAGCTCCAAAGAAGGAGTCAAACGCACACGTTGGCTGTTCGAAAAAAGCAGATTGATTATTCAGCAAGAAAAACACTACAGCTAAGGATAAAATTAAAATTAAAAATGTACACTTGGAAAAGAAACTAATGAAGAATGTTGATTCATTGATATGCTCTTAATTCTGCTCCTGGGGTGCTCACAAATCTAACCTCTGTGCGTCTGTAAATGTAGACTTTGGTAGGCGGGACTTCTTTGTGCAAAGCACATTGCAACGTCGTTGTTACTATTATCCAGGTACAGACAATCCATGTGAGTCGCCATTGACTTATTTAAGTCAACAGTGTACGCACAAACTTGGTGGGAAAAGGACTGATGAAGTATGGCATCTGGTTGATGTTACTGACCAAACTAGCTTAGCATATAAGCAGGAATGTAGTGATTAATGAGACCAAGATAAAAGT